CCAGCAATAGTACATTATACAGTGCAATGCAGAATACCACCAGCTATAGAGGACTACAAAACCCAGCAATAGTACATTATATAGCGCAATGCAGAATACCGCCAGCTATAATGTACTATTGCTGGGATTTGTTGTATTCCTCTATCGCTGGTGGTATTCTGTATTGTGCTGTACAATGTACTATTGCTGGGTTTTGTAGTCCTCTATAGCCAGTGCCATTCTACATTCATTGCTGTATAATTTTACACTTTTAATTTCACACCACACTTTTTCTTTTTTACTTCCACCGCTCCAAGCATGCTCCTGTGATGGACTACAATCTCAATACAAACTAGTAGTCCATCACTGGAGCCATTTCTAAAAGTTCTTTTTTATCCGATTAATCGAACTTAATATTCGGCTAACTAATCGATTTTGAAAATAATCGTTAGATGCATCTCTATATGTCATAAAATTGTATTTAATGAAAATCTGTATAAGTAGCTTTGGGTGGGCACAAGCTTGGATCTGCTGATTGACTTCTGAAGACATAATATTCTTTTTTTATATCCAATTCTCAGTTTAAATTGCCCAGGTTCATTAAACCAAATGTACTTAAAATGATCCGAATTACAAATGAAACCTAAGCACCTAAAAAACATTCATCTAGGTATACACATGCTTCTCAATACCTTGCCAAGCATCCCAGGAGCCTCTAGAAGCTTGGATGCTTCATTATGCCAATGTCAACCTTAAGAGAACCAGTCGTGACTAGGCATATGCAATCTGAATATTCATAAAACAATTGTGCAGGCTTATGAAAGATTGAAAGTAGCCCCCTTTATTGCACTTGATTTGCACTCTGTGAGCAACACTTCACCTTTTCTAAGGTTCATAGGCTACATGAAGCCTGATTATTGCTGCCATGTGAATGGAGTGTTTGGCTGAATGATGCATGTGACAATTTAAAAAAGGGCTTTAATTCTTGCACATATCGAGTGCTGGTGACTTCTATTATGGACTGTATCGGACACGGCGCCCTCCATGTTGTCACTTCAAGCACCAACCTTTCAACAAGGTCTGTAAGCTGTATGGAGTGCAGGTGATTTCGTATTATCTCACACACTGCACACTCAGCAGTAGGGACCAGGAACAGGACAGCTTTGCTTGCGGTCTCCAGGTTGGTACACCGATGTTATAAGTGCTTGGCCCCTGTTAGCGCACGTGAAGAGCTGAAAGCAGATGGCATTTTGTGGGCCCGTCAATTAGGTAATTACTATGGGATGACTATGGGTGTGCAGTCCATTTCTGCCTCTCGTAGTCCACTTTTAATTGTAACTACCTGTTTATGAATCAGGTACATTTGCATCTTCAGGAAAGTCAAAGCGTATTTGCCAACCCCGTGCCTGGAACCCTGGGCCGCCAACTGCGACAGATTTTCACTCTAAACAGATGCATAATTAGGAAGTGGCCAGAGTTCAGTTTCATTCTGTGGCAGTGCTACTTTACCTACGACTCAAGGTGTCACCTTGTAGTAAATTTGGAGCAAACTGTTGCTCCTTAGCCTTGCCACGCTGTGCAACAGAATTGCTAAATTTCGCCTATACTGCCAAATGATTTCCATTTTTGTAATTAGACCCACCTTTGTGACACTCCACAGCCAATAAGGTCACTCTTGGGCCCCATTCACACCTAAGTGATTCGAAGTGAGAGTTGATGGCTCACCAGAAGTGCTTCAGCGTTCCATTTCCATTTTATTCAATAGTGCCTTTTCACACCTGAGCTTAGTATTTCTTGAAGCTCGTCACACAAAAAATACACAAGATTCTTTTGGGACAGAGTTGTGTTTTGGCCCCAATAGACTTCTATAGCAGTCTCTGTGACTCAAGACTGAAACATGAAGAAAAAAAAAAGCCTGAAAAGAAAACGACTAAAGACACTCAGCTGAACTATGAATGTGTCCTAACTTCCTTTCAGCATGACTACATTCTAGATCTACTTTCTGCTCCTTTGACAGGGCTAAAAGGTGGCGAAGAAACTACAGGAGCTTCTATGTTAAAAAAGCACATCTCTAAGCTATTAACTATTATTGGCAATGGTTTTTGATCCCAAAAACGTAACTAAGCCAAAGTGCATCTCAGCTTATCACTATTTGGACCTGACCGATTCATTTGTTTTACATTAAAAAGGAGAACTATAAAAGGTTAGGGCTTTGCCCCATAGTTCTCCTTAGGGTAACGGGAGGACACAAACTAGCGTCCTCCCGTCACCCTAAGCTCAGTATCCCGCGAGCTGCTGCTCGCAGTATACTGAGACGCCGCAGCTGAAGCGGATCCCGACAATTATGTCTGGATCCGCCCAGCTGCGTGAGTGACAGCTGGCTCTGCCTATCTAGAGGCAGAGCCAGCTGTCCCCGCCCCCTCCCCGTCCGTTCCACCAGTCAGTGCTGGAGGATCAGGGAGGGGGTAATCCAGCCACTCCCCTGTCATGGCAGAACACCGTGACAGTATCGAGAAGTGAGCGAACGCCGGTATGTGTTCGCTCACTTCCCGACCTACTGAGCCGACAGTTTCACTGTCACAAGTCGGCTAGAATTATGAGGCTGAGTGCAAAGCACTCACCTCATAGTTCTCCTTTAAATGTAGCTCTTAAACGGCCACCACCCACAATGAAAATATAACATACACAGGCTTTGGTTATAAGAACTGAAGTAAACGTAAACTGCGCTGCCAGTAAAAAAAATATACCTACTGACAACAAACAATTAAGGTACTATATAGATATATTGTATAAAGATATATCAGGTACCATATCTACCAGCATGCCTGAATTTTGTTGCAAATCTGTACAGAGAACATTATCATAAACACAAAGGAGTGGGACCTGTGTCCCTCAGTGGACTCCAAGAAAAGGATTTGACAGCGAGTACAAAAATCTATTTTCAGTCTCGTCCATTGAGGGACAAAGAAAGTCTTAAGCTTTCAGGACGTCCAAAGAAGTCAAACTGAAGGGTGGCCAACACAACTAACAATCGCCCAACAAAAACAGGAAATGCAGACAGCCTGCACCTCAGAGTCCCCCAAAGGACCTTACAACTGGACCTGGCTTTTGAGGAGTCAGAAAAGTCTACCAGGTAGAACGAAGACTGTATGAACAAAAGACCAGGTGGCAGTCTTACAAATCTGGGAATCAGTTGCCGGATGTCAAAAAGACCAAGAGGCATTTTCAGACCTAGTGCAGTGAGCCTCATTGAGACCATAAGATTAAAGGTCTGCATGAACCACTTAGAAATAGTGGAACCAAAAGCCAGGGTGCCATTCCGCAGACCATCAGGAATGACAAAAAAGGAGAAATTAGTCCTTCTGAAATAACCAGTGGCCAAAAGATAGATCGTAAAGCAAACGCAATGGAGTGTGTTTTGCCACATTTTTACTGCAAGTTTTTTTTTCCAGCTTAAAATGGGCTTTCAGGTGCGGTCCAGTGCATTTGCATGCATTTTTTATGTGTTTTCATGCGTTTCAGTACATTCCAGACCAGAGAAAATTAGACAAGCAGTAGTTTGTTGTCTGGTCCGGAACAGACTGTGCTGGTGTGAACAGAGCCCAGAAATACAATGGGACGCTTTTTTGGTCCAGAAACAAACTGTTCTGGTCTAGACATGATCTGAACATGGTGTGAACATACCCTAAAGAGATATTTTCTTTTGATGAACCAGAGTTAGAAAAAAGGAACTCGAGAACAATGTCCTGGTTAAGGTCACAGGCAGAGACTACCTTAGGTAAGAAGGAAGTCCGGGGCCTCAACACTTCCTTGTCCGTATGCGAGACCAAAAAGGTTTTTTGCAAGATAAGGTCACCAGTTCAGACAGATATTCGCCTTGCAGAGGTAATCGCCACAAGGAAAGCAAACCTTGTGGGTGAGTCAGTATGTTTATTATGGGTTCAAAAATCTTCTGAAGCAAATTGAACCAGATTCAGACCCTACAGTGTCACAGGGGAACAGACGACACCACATGGGAGATCCCCTGCACAAAAGGTCTTAATCAAAGGAGTGAGAGGCCAACATTCTCTGAGACAGACTAGAAAGAGTAGAGGTGTGGCCTTTGATGGTACTGAAGGCCAAGCACTGTCCAGACCCAACTGCAGAAAGAAGATTTGCCCCACAGAGAATATTCTTGGGTGAAAGCCCCTAGACCAGGGCTAGGCAAACTCTGGTCCTCCAGCTGTGGTGAAACTACATATGCCATCATGCATATGCCTCTGGGAGTCATGCATGTGGCTGTCAGAGTCCTGCAATGCCTCATGACATGTGTAGTTGCAGCACAGCTGGGAGGGCCAGAGTTTGGTTACCCCTGCCCTAGACTCACACAGGTGCCTCGGTTTGTCAAAAGCTGGGCTTTAACAGCCATGTGACCTATGCAAATGAGAAGCTGTATGGCAAATCAGTAATTGGGACAGTGGATTTGGATGGTCTGGCAGGGCTTACGGTCCATCTGCTAGAAGTTGTACCAGGTCGGAGGACCACATTGGCCTCGGCCAATACCGAGCAATGACGATGACCAGAATTCCCCTTAATTTCGATCCAAACAAACAGGACCCCAGTTAACAAATCAACAGGACGAGAACTACATAAAAAAAATTTATTTCTTTTTTTTTTTTTTAGGTACCCCGTTTAACTTGAGGATTTGTTTTGTTGTTGAGGCAACAGTTTTATGGACAAGCAGAGCAACAATACACAGTAGCTGCACACCAGAGTTTGAAAAATAGATCACCACTTTTGTCACCATAACAGTGGATACAGAAATGTTCTGTAACAGGAAAAATGAGCAGTATGTACTGTCTTATGTGGTTCTACAGCACACACATATACAATCTCTCCATTAGAACCAAACCTCAGTCTGGGCACTAGAGGATCTGACTGTTGCCTCTGGAATGTTGGTCACAATATCTGATGCATTGGAGCTATTTACCAGCAAGCGGTCACTGACTAAAGCTTTGAAAGGACTTGTTATAGATAAGACACCTTTTTTTTTTTTCTTTTTTTGAAGAATGAGAATGTGGCAAACCACAAAAGCATATAACAGAAATATATATTTTTCTTATAGAATCTCCAATTGCAGTAGTCCTAGCTATCCCTGTGCTGGCCCATGCTCTGTGCTCATTTGTAAGTGACAGTCCATTGTTTGACACAAGCATCATGGGAAACAGTGGCCAACGTGTGCTCATCCAACCAGGCCAATCCAGTCACGTGATGCAGCCGATGGGTATCTAAAGAAAGACAAAAAAAATATAAAGGTTTTCAGTTCCTTTAGTGCAAGGAAAATCAACAGTTTCTTATCAGTCAATTGTGATGATTAGATGAATAAAACATTTCTCTAAATTAAAATTTTTCACCTGTTTCTTGAACAATTTAATTTTAACAACTTAGAACTACAATAAAGCAATGTAGCCCTATTGTCACCACTTTGCATTAGACTGCAGATTTAGCTGCCTGGCTGTTATGCTGCCACACTGGCTTTAGACCTTACATCACAGAATACAGCTATATACACAGATTAGATACATATACAAGATATATTTTACCTGCCAACATAGTGAGATTTACACAGCTCTGCCCAACAGCACAGCGCTGTCTAGCAGAGAAGGGTACCTGAACTTGTTCTGTAGAAGTTTCCTCATCCTGCCAATGGACAGTGGAAAAAAAAAAGGCACACTGATCAGCTCATCTCTCTCTCACTCTAGGTCTCTCCTATCAGCATGCTTCCTTACATTGAATCACACCTGACCGCCTCCTTGTGCTGCTTCCCCCTCCCTCTTTTTGGCTGGGCTGGACAGAAAGTGCAAAAGGTTGATACCCCATCATATTTAGGTACTTACACTGCTTGCATAAAAAATAAAATAAATTTTCTAATGTATTCAGGATTACAGAGCTGCAATATTTTGTACCTTTTATACCTGCATGGAGTTGAGCTTTAATATTTTAGGTCACTAACTCAGAGCAAGTATGCAGATGAAGACTTATTACCATTTTGTTTGAATTGCACACTTGTTCGCTGTCACTGAATCAAACTGAAGAAACAAGAGGATCAACCCGACAGCCAGGCAACTAGCATTTAGAAGAGCAGTTTGTCAATGGGCGTCTATGATTATCTTGTTAAAGTTTTCCCACTATACAGGTGAAACTTGATTAGAATATCGTGCAAAGTTCATTTATTTCACTAATGCAACTTAAAAGGTGAAACTAATATATGAGATAGACTCATTACATGCAAAGCAAGATAATTCAAGCCGTGATTTGTCATAATTGTGATGATTATGGCTTACAGCTCATGAAAACCCCAAGAACCCCAAATCCACAACCTCAAAAAAGTAGATTACTACATGCAATCAATAAAACAAGTACATAGAACAATATCGGACCTCTGAAAAGTACAAGCATGCATATGTACTCAGTACTTGGTTTGGGCCCCTTTTGCAGCACTTACTGCAATGACTTTTGCACGATATTCTAATTATTCGAGTTTCACCTGTATATTGTTGTTTTTTAAACAAAACCTGAACTTTTTATTTCATATTTGGTGTTGCTTCAATTAAATCTGTGGTTAAGTTAAACATCTAAATTCTAACCCAACACTGCTGCAAACTTGGTTGGCCAGTTGTTGAACTTGGCTTTAGTGGGTGATATTTAAGGGCTAAGCGCACCTTATCCACCTCAATACCAGCATGTTTGTTAATTTCCCAAAAATAAATAAGTGCAAAAAAATAATAGGGGGCGACTACAAAAATAGTGGTTATGTAGGAGGTTGGTTGACAGTCCGGCATTTCCAGACTTTTTTTTTTAAGGGCCCATTCACACCACATCCAGATCATCTCGAGACCAGATTGTTTCTGGACCCAAAACGCATATTAATGTATCCTTATACTATTTCTGGCCTCTGTTCACACCAGAGCAGACCAAAGAATACTGCAGGTCTAATTTTGTCTGGTCTGGAAACACATGGACTTGCATCAAAATATATACAAATGCATGCAAACGCACTGGACCGAACCTGAAAACCCATTTAAAAAAATTTCAAAAAGCTCCAGAACGCAGCGAAATCACGGTAAAAATACAGCAAAACACAATGCACTGCATTCCAGTTCTGGTCCGGAAAATGGTGAGAAAAATAGTAAGTCTTTAAATAGTAAAAAATAAAGAAATAAAACCCCGTGAATATTAAATACCACTAAAGGAAAGCTGTTTACATTTTTTTTTTTAAATGGTATAAAGTTCATTTGGGCACAGTGTTGTATGATGAGGAGTAATTGTCAAACTATCACGACACTGAAAGTGAAAAATGGCCTGTTAATAGAGACAGGTATTACAGGCCGGAATTGAGGTGGTTAAATGACAGGTATATCCAGGTCCCTTATGATCTTCCACAACAACTGTATACTCCCAATTCTCTACTTGCAAAACGATGTATACAGCAAGTCACAACCTCCGTAAGCCTGATATTTTTTTTAATTTAAAAAACACTGATAAAAATCAGCAGAAATCGCCAATATGGTTAATGTATGGTGACACGCTTATTTAATAAAATAACACATGGTCAATTCGTAGGCGCAAATCCAATTGGAAATCGAGAAATAAACTGAAAAAAACTAACAATGGACCTCTAGTGAACCTTTGAGCAACCAGACAATTTCTCAGCACAGCACCATTATTGTTGTTATTATTATACAGGATTTATATAGCGCCAACAGTTTGCACAGCGCTTTACAATAGAAGACATTACAATTACAATACAATTCAAGACAAGATGGTAAGGAGGGCCCTGCCCGCGAGGGCTTACAACCTAAATTAAATTCAGAATGGAGACATGACACATACCTGGCATCTTAATACGTTTATCTGCATCACTCAGAGTCCAAACAAAGACCATCATATCCATTCCTCCAGTGGCAAAATGTTCATTGTCCGGTGACCAAGCAACACACACTACTTTGGCATGGTGTCCATAGAACTTGTCCTTCTCCTGTTAATAGAGGCAAAACAATGTTTGTTGGTTACAGGTTCTTCTTCGGAATACTTGTTTGCTTGTACAATAAAAGGGGACTTAAAGGTTAGCATTATAATGCAGTCAGTTTAGGTGCCAAGACCCCAGCCTTCCCTGTTAAAACTGCAGAGCACAGGCAGGGCATGTAGTTCCCCCCTGTGTGTGTCCTTACACACTGCCCACTCACCTACTATGGGAAACATAGGTCAGTAAGGGTACTATAGGACATAAAATAACTTTCTTCCACTGAAAAGGGAATGCAGGAAATTGTAGTCTACAGCTCAGTACTCTGAAAATCCTGATTATCGAACTTTCCACATAATCACAGAAGACATTCCGTATCACCTCCAGCCCTAAGTGACATCACACATCGCCACCACCCGTTCCCCATGGGGGCGGGAGGAAGGAGAACAGAGGTTGTGAGTTCACATCCCACCGATCAGAGATGATTTGAGGATCTACAGCCGAGTGATACACAAATAAGATACATTTTTGGTAATAGTTAAGGTACTTGAATACATTTTTAAGATTTAAATTGAGTTTAGTATCACTTTAATGGTATGGTTTGGAAATATTGACTGTTACAATGTGTTTTCAGTTTGTGTGTTCACATTACTTTAAAGACTGATTCTTTGACTCAAAATCTAAGAGGGCTCAGCTAGCGGTGAAAAGGGATTTCTGCTGCAGTTGTATTTAAAATGAAGAAAGCAGCTAGGATGGGGAGTTTCGAGGATAGTTTATGGCAGGAAGGGTTGTAAGGCTATTTTTTTTTTTTTTAATATAAATTATAAACAAACTCTACATCCCCTGTGTGTGTTTAAAATAATAGCACATGAAACGGTGATTTTATGCATCTGGGAGTAATATCGCCAACACCCCCGCCTCCTCCATGTAGCCATGCTCTAGTAACCTGGCAGTGTTATCTGAAAATGTGTTAAAAGGATCAAATGAGGTGGATAATTTGTTGCTACTGTTTAGACTACCTGGTAAGGGATTAGAATCATGTAATATAAATCTGCAGTTGATGTAAATTAAAGAACAATATAAAAGATAAAGGGATATAACTGAGCTAGTCATAGATATGAGATGGTGGTTAGAAAATCTATAAAATACCTTTTCATAAACATGTATAATTGTTCGACAGACCGTGATTGTTTGCTCAAACAAAAAGACTGGCATCAAGGCTGACAACACAACATGAACGAGCAGATGTTTAACTATCCACTGACTGATCTGCCTATCTATGAGCATCTCAGGTGTGCCAATACATAAACATCTTTTGGCCACATCAAGAACATTTGGCAATATGCATGCAGGGCCCAGGCTACTAGAACTGACAGTCTTGGGACTGCAGCATGTACACAAGGAATGGTTCTTGAACGGTTCTAAGGATACATATAGCTTCATGCCAAACCAGTTATATATAGGGTTACATCATTGTCCATATTCATTTGCAAAACAATTATGACACAAGACAAAAGGTAGACTAATTCCAGTATTCACTTACTGCATATCCATCAGCAACGCTGAAAACAGTGACCACACGGTTGGCGTCAGTAGCAGCAAGGAAGGCACCATCATTGGAATAGGCAAGACTGGTTACCACAGCCTTAACTGACAGAGACTTCCCCTCATCCTTCAGAGTGTTCCCTTGAATGGAATACAAGTGGATGTCGCCATCCTAAAAAAGGTAAAAAAATAAAAAGTGGTACAGACAGAGATCAGAAAATGATGACTTTTTAGGTTCATGACTAGAGCTGTCCTGGGTGTTTAGGTGCACGCATGAGCAGATACATCCAACCTACACCCCAGTTCTATCCCTCAAACAGCCCTCAACTTAAGACTCCTACCACTAGTATAGCAGTAACAGAAGTAACTGTATAAAATCAGTAGATTGGTGGAAGTCAATTAAACAACAAACCTATATTGGAATACATCTTTCCATCTTTGATCCCAGCTAATGAAGCTTACCCACAAATTTAGGACAAAGAGTTTGACCACATTATTGGCAGCTGGCATAAACTGTTACTAAGACGAGAGGGAAACCAGCTGCTGTGAGAAGTAATGTAGCAATAACGACGACCACTTAAGAGGTAAATGACCAACACAATTTGTAAAGATCATTACAATTACTGACGAATGATAGCACGCAGATAGAACTACAATTGTGCTTACTTCTACACATTACCAGAGGAAGGAATACAAATATTAACCTACTATGCCATCTAGTGGTTCAATCATTATTTTAGCAAACTCATCTTACAGAGTACCAGACTATAAACCAAAATGCTTTTAATCATAGTATCAATCTAATAAGATGTAATGGTCTCTTTTAATATTGGAAGCTATTTTAGGGGTCACTAACTAGCGGCCAAAAAATTCCTCAAGTTACAGTAACATAAAAACTGCTCTACCACATGACAGGATGTCTTCCAGAAACACAGGCAGCCTAATAAAGTGTAAGTCCATCAAAAACTAAAAACCTTTATTTTATATTTTAAAGAAAGACAGGGTGGGAAGGGATTAAACCCCTCTCTGGGTTGATACTGTTAACAGACGATCCATTAGAGAGATTTCCTCTCACTTAGGGTCTGTGTTGCTGGGCTTTGGGCTTGTGTTGATGGAATCAGTTTCAATGCTTCTGAGATCATTCAGAATGTACTGAGAGATGCATGCGACCTGCAGTTGCCCTTCTCCTGACCTGCTTTTAGCTGGTTTTGCATACCTATAGCCTTGTACAGGAATGCAAAAACCCTTTGCATTTATATTTGTTTGTGTTGCTGTTGGAAAACTTTCCTCACTTCCTGTCTAGTGAAAAAATTGTCACTACAGTGTGCGAGGGGGAAATCTCCGTAACCGAACCCCAGGTAGCAGTAAACACCCAACAAAGGTTTCAGTCCTTTTCCAACATATTTAAAAACAAACATAAATAACTTGGTATTCACGTTAATTGAACAAGGTAGCTAGGTATCCCCAAGATCTTGTGGGGAGAGGCACAAAAATAGGGTGTGTGTACTCGCCATATTTTTTTTTTTCTGTAGCCCATTGAGGGTCACAGAATTCTTAAACATTCGGGTTCTACTGCTGCCTACAGAAGGACTGGACACTAAAAAACAAAACAAAAAAAAACCTTTAGGCCAGCCCAACATAACCCCTCCTACTACCAGCATGCCTTAGTTTTGTATCAAAGCCGTTCTGAGAGCCTGATCATGAACACAGAGGGTTAGGACTTGTGTACTTCAACGGACCTAGGGAAAAGGATTTTACAGTACAAAGTACAACAATCCAATTTTCTTTCTCATCCATTGAGGGAAAACAGGAAATCTTTAACCTTTTGGACAGCCAAAAGCAATCCACCTGAGGGGTGGGCAACACAGCAAACGTTTACAGGCACAAGAAAACGGAGAACTGGGGATTGGCCAAAGCGTAAAGAGCTGCCTTACATACCTTATGCCTGAAGCTGGCATGGATTCCATGAGACAACCTGGTCCTTGGCAATAGATAAACCAGACTGTCCCATGATGACAGAATGTTGCATTGTACAGGTCTTGAGTGAAAAAGCGCAAATGCCTTGAAAAGAGGCCACTATCAGACCTAGGGCATTCTGGCCTATGCTGTGTTCAGGACTAGACCCACATACTCCAAACAAGGAGTTGGTTGCAGGGATGATTTCTGAAGATCCAGGATTTATCAGAATGATTGCTGGGTCTGGATGGTCAGCATCATGTTGTCAGATGGAGCCCACAGCAACTGTTCACTTGACAGGAGGTCATTTAAGTATCCCACAATAAAGAGTCCAAGAGAATGAAGCAGGGCTGGTACTTGGGTCAGCACCTTAATGAATACCTGGAGGTGCAGATGAGAGGCCAAAGGGTAGGCCCACAAACTGTTAGTGCTGGGGCCCCACAGCAAAGCATAAGAATACCTAACGTGCTAGAAAGATGGGGAGTTGTAAGCATCTCTGATGTCTACATAAGCCACATAAAAGTCTCCCCGGTCAAGGAAGGGGGATGACAAAATTGGTAATTACATGTGGATTTTTTTGGACATTTACAGATTTGATAGTCAGAATGGGTTGAATGCCGCCTTTGGGCTTGGGAACGGAAACCCCTTGACCTGTTCTGCCACAGGGCAATGATAAGGGGGGGGGATCTGCTAAAACTGTGCAGTGACATAGGAAGGTTGAAGATGGATACTGAGGAGGAGGCAGGGAGCGAAACTCTACTTTGATACCACCTCCCGCACCCAAACGGCTGAGATGCAAGCTGTTTGAGCATCCACAAAAGGTTACCAAACTCCACCCTCCCACCACTCTGGAAAGCGTGTGTGTGGGGGGCACATTGATGCAGGGGAATGCTTGTTTGAGGATTTTGCAGACCTTAAAACGCCAGACCTTATTGGTGGAGGGGTGAGCCAAGCTATGGGGGTTGTGGAATTGAAGAAACAAAAAAATATTTAACAGCGCACAACACACACTTAAAGGAGAACTATGAGGTAAGTGCTTTTCACTCACCTCATAGTTCTAGGCGACCTGTGACAATGAGACTGTCACAGGTCGGCTCAGGAGGTGAGCGAACACATACCGGAGTTCGCTCACCTCTCGATCCTGTCACAGCTCTCTACCGTGACAGGGGAGGGGCTGGATTCCCCCAGCGCTGACTGGCGGAACAGACGGGGGAGGGGGCGGGTATAGCTTGCTCTGCCTCTAGATAGGCTGAGCCAGCTGTCAGTCACGCAGCTGGGCGGATCCCGGCATAATTGCCGGGATCCGCTTCAGCGTCTCAGTAAACCGCGAGCAGCTGCTCGCAGTATACTGCGGCGTCTCAGAATACCGCGAGCTACAGCTCGCCGTATACTGAGCCTAGTGTGACGGGAGGACGCTAGTTTGTGTCCTCCCGTTACCCTGAGAACTATGGGGAAAAGCCTTAACCCCATAGTTCTCCTTTAAACACAAGGGTTCAGCATTCCAGCATTTTAGGTATATGCAAGAAACAAGATGGGATGCTTCTAGCAAACTATCATAGCTGAAATATAACGCTACCGTCATCTGTTCCACACGATCTTTAAGTGAGGGATGAACCTTGGTAGTGGTTAGATCCCTTTTAAAGGCTTTTGACTATTCGGATATTGTTTGAAAAAAATCAAAGCCAGGATGGGATGAAGGGCAGTGCCTGCCAGTGAGAGCAGAGCTCTAGAAAGGCCTTCTAAACACTTATTTGTTAGGTCCTTAACCACTTGCTGACCGGGCTGTTTCACCCCCTTCCTGGCCAGGCCATTTTGCAGTATTCAGCGCTGCGGTACTTTGACTGACATTTATTCCGTCATGCAACGCTGTACTGAAATGAATTTCATACCATTTTTTGGGGACAGATAGAGCTTTCTTTTGGTGGTATTTAAATCACCACTGGGGTTTTTATTTTTTACTATAAAACAAAAAAAGTATTTGAAAAAACAACAACAAGGTTTCCCTATAAAATGTTATGAAACATTTATTACCACCCCAATTATTTGGTACAATATAAAAGACGGGGCTTTCATTGCGACGTTCGCGGCGATATGTAACATGTGCTGCATAATGGGCGCAATCGTCGTTTTCGTACATAGGCGCACCCGACACATGTTTGCGTGTGTATGTGGGGGGAGGGGGACTTTACAAAAAATGTTGTGTTATTTTTTTTATTATTTGTTTTTATTATTATTATTTGTGAATATTTTTTTTTATCTTTATTTTTTTAATGCTCTAATTATTATTTTTTTTAGACTTAACTTTATTGCTATCACATAGGGGACTTCAAAATCCCCTATGTAATAGCCAGTTCACCAAACAGGTCCTCTTTATGGAGACATCAGGGGTCTCCAAGACCTCTGATGTCACCTAGGGACCCCCAGAGAAACTGATGAAGCAGAGATCTGCTTCATCAGCTCTCTCCGGTGTTCTGCAATATACATCACTTCCTGCATTCGGGGACAGGAAAAGAGATCAAAGGGAGATCGAGTAATGATCTCCATTTGATCTGCTGTAAGGCTGGGTTCACACCTAGGCGTATCGAATATGCATGTTTGTCGCGCGTTTTACCGCGATTCACGGTAAAAAAACTGTGCGACAACACGCGTTTCCAAGGGCTACATACGTATCCCAATAAAAAAACGCGCAACAAAAATGCCGCAAAGAAGCTCCTGTACTTCTTTGGGCGTAGGACGTTTTGTAGCGCGTTCATACGGCCTGTAATACGCCCAGGTGTGAACCATGCCCATAGGAAATAATGGGATTTCGGTGTTTGAGCGTTTTGCAGAGCGTTTGTACGCACTACAAAACGCCCAGGTGTGAACCGGGCCTTAGAGTGCCGCCTTGTCGGTCCCAGCCGCACCGGCCACAGCGGATTATGGGACCGGCGGCGAGGAGACGGCAGGACATAGGTACGCAGCTCCTGCAAGCGATCGCTTGTATGCAAACAGCCATCGCTGGCTGTTTACATGCTCAGTTTTCCCTCGTGTGCGCGCTGAGCGCCGCACACGAGAGGGGGGGAGGGGCAGGACATCTTAAGACGCCCTCCCGCTCCTAGCAGACTCCCGTCCGGCCGTTCACAAACGGCCATGGATGGAAGGTGGTTAATTAAAGACAGGTACATTCTCTACCTGAATATTTAACACCCTGTTAAGATAGACACTGCCAGAACCACAGTGGGAAAAGTCCAATTCTGCACAAAGTGAATACAAGGATTATAAGAGGGCATACAACTACTTGTCACGATGGTTCCATTCTCCACAGAGAAAAGTGGGTGCAAAGGGAATGTTTTTACAACCATTAGGAGTTTAAAATGACCCAAGACTGGAAACAGCATTGGTAGAAACGGGCTGATACTATAGTTTTGAAATGGTGCGCATTGCATCAAGAACAACTCAAATAGTCTCCTTTAATATGAGTCATAGCATAGTAGATTGCAACTTCTCATGGGCAAACTCAAATTCAAGGACTGGAGCGACTTACAATCAGGCAAGGTATCTGTGGCCAATGGCTCAGAAAATGCCAAGGCTGAGTCACCTGGTAATGGGGCAATTTGGGCCGTAACATTTTGCATGACTGTGGTAAAAACCTAATCTGAGGGAGAAGGCCCAGGCAAACCCAATGAAGTCAAGGAGGACTCCAAGCATGAACAGTCTCCAGGACCAGAGGACAGATATATCAGAATATAACATGATGTCAGAAGGAGTGTAATGCAAGCAGCACTGGAACCATTAGTAGAATGTATACTGGGGGGCAAATGATAAAGTGTGACTGCCCACAGAGATGTTGCAATTGCATGGTAGTAAAGCATGGTATAGTAACAACACCCAGACAGCTGTTAGCAGGTGAGGGTCAGATGAACAGAGGTGACCAAAGTCATTGTAGGCGGGCAGCAGGAAAAGATTGAAGTTTCATGAGGCTTTTTTTAGGCAGGAACAGCACATGGGAGATTCTTCCTTGATGCTGGTAATAGGAGGGGTTATCCTGAGGTAGCCTACATTTGTTTTTGTTTGCCAGTGCCCTGTCCTCCGGTAGGTGGCCGTATAACCGAAAGGTTAAAGACTTCGTATGTCCCTCAATGGATGAGAAAGAAACCTGGTGCCCTGATGAGACCCGAGGACAGGTTTGATAAGCGTTGCTCTATACAGACACCCCATACATCTTACCAACATAACCTTAAATTATGCTTCATTATATTGATACGCATCATGATTTGAAAACATGTATTTGCAAAGTGGGGCAAAAGAGGTACAGATGCCACTATGATTAAGCCTGCAGTTCTGATCTTTTGAATGGGTAACCAGGTAGTGCTCTTTCAAATAAACTTCACAGAGTTCAGGAAATATCTAAAAGGACATTGGCGCAGAATGCTCAAATATATTAGGACTCATCCACACAATCCACATTTCCATGGATTCTGCCGCAAATTGCATTTGTAAAGGAAAATGTTATTTATTTACAGAATCCCTTACTACAATCAAGTTCTTGAGAGCAAGACTCCTGATGCTCCTGTAAGAGATATCCTCAATATAAAAGAATATAAAAAGGATAGCATAGAAGTCCCTGGTTTTTAAATTTTTCTCTGAATCTACCTCCATAATACACCCCAGCTTTGCTGCTCTTAAAGGTTACATGGCCACAGCTGCAAAGCCGCCAGGATACTGTTGTGCAGCTTTCACAGATATCTGTCAGAATATGCAACCAGCCTCTAAATTTAACTTCATTTTAAAAGTAATCCTTATATCCCAACTCGAGTCAAAACTTTTTTTTCTTCTTTTTAAGTTGGAAAGGGTTATAACCAGATATTTATTGATATAGGTATCCCTGTGTTGGAAATGTCACCTCACTTCCCATCTGGTGTCCACAAAAGGAGGAGAATACAGTAAGGGAAGACAGAGGTTATCACACTTTCCCACACAAGAACAGAGGAAAAAGTATTCGAAATGGCTGCAGAAACCGCAAATGAAAACTGAACAGATGTTCCAGCCATTGCCCACTCTAACACTAAAAACAAGTAATGCCAGACAAAACTTTCAGCTAGCTTGTAAAAAGGAGTGCTGGCAAATGTAATTTGTACTGCCTATAGGTTGATGAGCTAGTTGGTACTTCTTTCTTTGCAGTGTCCCCCTCTCCCTGCAGTGCGCTCACAAATACAGTACTGGTCTGGCAGTGAATTCCAGCATGTACAAATCTAGTTTACATATATTTAAGCATGCAAGCTCATTTACTCTGCCATCAACTGTACACAAGCTCAGTTATATGTATCTGACAATTGTTAGCATAACATGACTGAATATATGTAGGAATATCAGACTAAATATAGACAATGTGTGCTTTAAAATAACAGGAAGCTTACCACTCCACCAACAGCAGCTGTTCCAGAGCCTTTGTGGACAGCAACCGACTCCGGCTCATAATCCAGAGAGTCAACAACAAAAACTTTCTTCTTGTCTTTCAGGAGGACAATCTGTGAAGTAAATGGAAAGCAGATCTCTTAAAATTGTAATTCAAATCTTTGCTAAACTACCCATAAAATTCTGATTACAATCGTCTATACGCAGACAGAAAATGCTTCCGGATAATTCTGCTTGGCTACAAAAGGGCCTTATTTGCGACCGATTTGGCCATCCACAATGATGCCCAAATCTGACAGAGATGGGGGATTGGTTCAAGTACCAAAGGCCCACATCATGTGTAGGAACCAAGCAACACTATGTATAAAAGTGGCATATACACTACAACACAGACCTCATGACCAATTTGTCCATGATACTAGGGTGGATCTAATTTGACAACAGGCCTCATTAAAACACAGTGTAGTGTGGGGCCCTACAGATCCATGCGGCGTGCACGGCCATATCGGGCCGTTCCCGGGAAGGACAGGTGCTGCATGCGATTGCACGCAGCAGCCTGTTCTTCCCTATGGGAGGACGTGGCCATACGTAGTCATATGCTCACCCGAGCTGCGCGGGCGGGTGCCCGTGCTCAGACGCAGACAGGATCCATCTAGTCTGCGTCCGAGTTCTGACACCTGCATGGATGTGCGGCTCGGGCTAACGTACGGCCACGTCCTCCCATAAAGAAGAACAGGCTGCAGCTGATTGGTTGCAGTGCAAATTTGCTCCAGATTTTGTCTGCTCCAGTTTTGGTAAATTCCCCCCTGTGTATGTATGTGTACATTGTGGGTTATCATTGTAACAGTCCCATGAAGGTTATTTTTGATGAGACTACTTGTGATTCCATATCTGGATTATTTCATACACAGATTTGAGAATACTCCTGGTCGCCACCTATATCAGGGAATACAGTTGTCATTGCACTATTGAATATGAACAATGTAACCAGTTAGTAGCAAAATAAAAGGACTTTTTACTATATTATTGTAATTATTATTATCGGTTATTAGCAATAAAGCCAAGCCACTAAAGCCATCAGCAGCGGTAATAAGGCAGATAAAATTCAATGACACAAAGTGAGTTTTATTGATTTCTGTGCACATTTCCATAAGTAATAAGTCCATGCAAAGTAGATGTGTGACAGCCAATCTGTTTTGCTTGGACAAACTTATGTGTGGGCCCGACTCTTTCAAAGGGACACACAAAAACGGGAGCAACAAAAGACACAAGATGTCTTTTTTGCTCCCTTGTTGAGTTGGTTCAAAGTAGTGAAATGAAGACCAAGGACTTGGAGAACTATGAGGGGAGTGCTTTTCCCTCACCTCATAGTTCTAGCCGACCTGTGACAATGAGACTGTCACAGGTCGGCTCAGTAGATCGGGAGGTGAGTGAACACATACCGGCGTTAGCTCACCTCTCGATCCTGTCACGGCTCTCAGGGGAGTGGCTGGATCCCCCCTCCCCGCTCCGATCCGCCAGCGCTGACTGGCGGAACGGACGGGGGAGGCGGCGGGTACAGCTGGCTCTGCCTCTAGATAGGCAGAGCCAGCTGTCAGTCACGCAGCTGGGTGGATCCCGGCACAATTGTCGGGATCCGCTTCAGCGTCTCAGTATACCGCAAACTACAGCTCGCAGTATACTGAGCCTAGGGTGACGGGAGGACGCTAGTTTGTGTCCTCCCGTTACCCTGAGAACTATGGAACTATGGGGAAAAGACTTAACCCCACAGGACAGCTCTTCATGGGCACAAGGAAGGCCAACAGACACCACAATCTGTGCCAAGTATACCAGATGTGATGACTGGTATTACCTGAAATTCAGCCCTGCAACATCCCAAAATGTCATAACATTCTCCAATCCTACACTAAGCTGGCCATACACAGTTTGAATTTTGGCTGCGTTAGTTCGAGGTGTGTGGGGCCCGCGTCAACACGTCCCTTTGACAAAAGCAATTTTTTTCAATACAGCCGATGCAACAATTCTCGGCCAAACAGTGATTGTAGCCAGTGAGCTAGTCTGATGAGGAAAACAAACTTGCATATGGCCAGCTTTAGATCATGACATAGCTGTCCGTTTTTTCCCATCCTAATCCCTAATGAACCCCAAGATACCTTACTAGTGAAGAAACATGGCACAACACATTCACATTAGTCATTACAGTCTGTGTTAGTGGTTGTGTACCCATAAGCACCCGGGGTTATAAAAGTCCAGCATATACCCATATACAGCCATTAACCTCTATGGGAGGCTACATGTAGCACCTGTGGCTCCCTGGCAGCAGAAATACACCAGAATATTTGTTGTACATCCACAGGCAGTCATGTGCAAGTGCCCTTAGGATGTTGACTTTAGCAATATGGTTAACTATAAATCAACTGACAGAACATTGTAATCATCTTAAGCGTGAATGCAAATTAAACCAACTGTAAACCATAAACACGTGACTAAATCCTTTCAGGATCATGTCCCAGTGGTGGCACTATATGTTTGTTGGGTTTTTGTTTTTTATAAAAAGGCCCATACAAGAAAGGATTCTGCAGTCACCTGATGAAATCCAGAAATCTGGGATACTTGTCCTGTCGGTGCTAATAGAAATTCTAATGTATATCTAGAACGATTGGTTCCCCAACGAACGTGCGGTTTCCCATAACAAAACTTTTCAGCCATATCACCGTTATTTTCAAATTTGTATTGTCGAAAATGGTTGTTATAGCAAACAATTATAAAAACGTATTGAGCCTAGTGTGTAGTATTGTGTACTCTGGTAAAACCACTCTCCACTTACAGTGCATTGTTGCTCTGTGCAGTGCACAGAGCAACACACATAACTGACCACTATGTACCTGGCTACTGCTGACTAATACAGCGTATCCATTAGATCCCACCGCAACGTCCTTTGGTTGGACATCCAACTTTACGGCATCCTGAGGACTAAAAGGACAGAAAAGTTAAAACATTAGATATACAACGTACAAAATTTTGATAGATTGAGAGAAACTAGAGAAAAAAAAATATATGACTTTAGAGAAAACTGGCAGCAACCAATCTGAATTTATTTTTTTACCAAATTGGAAGGCAAAACCTTTTGTTTTCAATTCTTTCCTCCAGCATTTATGAATCAGCCCCACAGATGGGGCATGTATCGTGCACACCTCTTACCCAAAGATCATTGAATAGTCATTGGCAGATTGTTCCTTTTCTAAAACAGGTTAAGCTAATACAGTGCTAAGGATACCCTCCATTGTGATTTTACAGAGCCCATGGAGGAAGTGGCCACATCCTGTCTCATTCAATAAACAAATGCAAAGTGCTGTATCCCAAAGATGCATTATTTTAGGTAACTGGAATTTGCTCACTGAAAGATGAATTCTAAAAGCTGGCCATACAGACCCGCAGGCTGAACGAAAAAAAAAAAAAAATAGTACAGATTCTGCCATCAACACTTACAAGCGCTGATGGAAGAATCCCCCGCTGTTTCCTCTGTATTCTGACAGCAGCCGCCGTACAGTGGCTGATTGGCTGCTAAGCAGCGTTCGAGGATTTTGCGACCAGAACCTTCTATTGGTTTATTGAGGGATTATGGCCCGAAGGACACCAACAGCGGCACCCACTGTGCGAATTTCAGCCGGTTTGTGAAGAACCGACCAGAATTCACATAGTGTATGGCCAGCTAAAGTAGTTGCTACAATTCACTGCACTTTTCCTTTTGGTAAAAACAAATGATGGCACCCATTCCAAGTATTGATTGAGATCACTAGTTGAGGACCAGGCCATGTAAATTGTCATAGAAGGAGATAACGAGTGAGAAGCACTCATCGTACATAGTTTTTTTTTTTTTTTGCGTACCCCTATGCTAAAACCTACACAGTGACTTTACTTCCCAGAAAAAAGAATCACTTAAAAAGGAACCAGATAGTGGCAGCCTCCAGAAATGGATGACACTGCACTAACAGACTGCTTCATAAGATAGTTGAGTTAAGAGGCATGTGCTTATGTTGTCATAAGTGAGATGGACTTGGTTAACGCAGGTGCTAGCCCAATTGGGCTTCTGGAATTTATCTAGTAAAACACACTTACAAATAAATTTCAGAATAGGCATGCACCATATTCAAGCGGAGCAATCATCAATGCTCACCTGTAGGCCTTTTTGATGATGTCAGTGTAACGCACAGTGTCGTCCATGCTGCAAGTGACAAGTTGGTTGGAGCTGTTCACGGCCATGCTGGACACCTGGTTTGTGTGGCCCTTTCCAGAGAAGGTGTCATTCTCGCCTGACGCAGCATCGAAATAATGTGCACAAAATGATTAAGGGAAGCACAACCAAATAAAAATGAACTGGCAAGTGTGGTGGATTTTATTCTCTATAAAGTCCACTATAAATTCAACTATCATGGATAGGCAATCAAAAAGGGTGGTGGTTAGCGTTCATATGATTTCATCATTACAGAAGGCAACACTGCACCGAACTTAATTCCCGATTGCTATACTCTCAGCATTGAATGTCAATGTAAACTGAAAATCCATTCTGGATGTAATGTGGAAAACCAGTGTCAGATTCTCAGCCTGGTCGTTCATCTGAAAAGGTACCTATAGACAGCAGCACCTCTTTTTTCAGACTGCTGTAGAATGCTACAGCCATCTACTCCACGCATGAATGAGGGCTCAAGCTCGGCAGCCATCAGATCTTTTTTTAAGGGATTTAGACTAATCACACACATAGAGCCTATATATAGGTTCAGGGTAAGAGGCAAGGGCTCTTGTACTCCGGAAACCCTGACAGCTGGTAGCAGGTAAGGGTCGGTGACCGTCAGATGGCCAGAGGTGATTAAAGTCACAGTAGTTGGGCAGCAGGGATGGGGCAGCAGGGATGGATTGAGGAGTGATGTTTCATGTGACTCTTTTCAAGCAGGAGATGCTTCCTCGGTGCTGAATAGTGGAAAAGAGCACAGGATGTGTCCATGCGGCACTTCACTCAGTGAATAATGTCAGCATTGAGCCTCACAGCATTAACCCCTTCCATGTAAAAAAACAGCAGAAGCATTGGAGATGTGCAAGTACAAGCTAAACAGCACAAAGTAACAACATACACAGAAAAGGATATTGATATGTCCATCATGGCTGCCAGAATAAATTGTGGCTCGACCATCAAGGTTGTGGACAGTCATGCACTGGATAGACTTGCTGTGCCCCTGCAAAAAATAAGCATAGCCTTAACAAAAAGAAAACAAAAACCCTCAAAAACAAAATGCATAATTTGGTTATACCAACTGCACAGAATGCAAATTTTCATACAGCTTTCTGTGTTGTCAGCTCAAACAGGAAGTTAGGAGCACACTGCACTTCTGCACAGAACAATACCTGTTGATCTGCAAGTATTTTAAAAGTGAACAAAAATGGGAAAGTGTGCATGCATTGCAGAGATGCGGACATAGACTTTAATGAACGGTTAGAGAAATGTAGAGTTGATGTAATATAAATAATTATACAGTGGTACCTCGGTTCATGAACTTAATTTGTTTCACGATTCTGGTCGTTAACCGAATCAAAATTTCCCCACAAGGTTCAATGTAAATAAGTTTAGTCCATTCATACCCCTACGAACGTGGTCGCGAACAGAAGCCTATTTTCCTATATACTAGAAGTATGGGAAGGAGTGTTCATTGTATGAGTAATTTATGATCCATCTTCTACTACAGAAAATAGCAATTGTAAAAACTATTTAAGGAATATAGTAAAATAAAAAGATAATGGTTTTTGCTTTCCTGGGGGCCCAAAATGTTAGATGTTTGTGGAAGGCTGAACCTCTGTCCTTCAACTTAAAAAATAGAGGAACTCCGGCTACTAAGAAAATTAACTCTTGCAGTGGGGCTTCCCCCGCACTGCAAGAGTTAACTGCTCGTTTTTGTCTAGGGGCCGGAATACAGGAGATGGATACCCGATTCTCAGTCCTGCGGCAGTCAGCACTCACCTCTCTCCCCAACTGTTCTGGCTGTGAAATGTCCCACAGTGTCCTCCCATCTACTGCAGGTGAATAGACCTGCATTAGATGTGTTGACATCAGCGGGGCTTAGACCACCAGAGCACAGGGGAGAAGAGGCTGTGGGGACCGATCTGGCACCCAGGTGGGATTGAGGTTCAGGTAAGTATATCTTCTTTAATCCAGCTCCTAGACCAAAAGAAGCAGTCTATCCTTGCAATGCAGGGGTAGCCCAATGCAAGGGTTCATTTTTATAATTCCTGGAGTTCCTCTTTAAGTTGTCACACAATGGATTCTTCATGCACACACAACACAACAGTAAAATTGTATATTGCGTATATACGCGTGCACTGAATGCAATCTCAGAATGCATCATTCTTAATAGAAATGTTAATGTACTGTACACGCACATATGTGCGTAAAATACGCAGAAATACAGAGCCCGGACGCATCTCAGGTCCATTTTTTTGCGCATCTTTACGCAGCGCAAATATAAGGCTCCATACGCAGCTATGTGTATGGTGCCATTTGCATATGCTGCATGTAGGAAAATACGCTGCGCACATCGATACACAGCGTAAAGTACGGCAGTGTGAATGAGGCCTTAATGTCTATATTACACATTTCAAAACAAAACAAGAGAAATAAGCATAGATGCAAAAGCATTTCAATATGCAAAAATATGTAAAAAATAAAAACAATTTAAAAAAAGAAAGCTTTTTGTAGTATACCTTGACCACACGTAAAGGTCTGCTTGGATTATTTTTGTCCAGATAATTGATATAGCCAGACAAAGAAACACTCAGCAAGTAATTCCCCTGCCACAAGCATCCCAGCTGCTGATCCAGCGTATCTGTGCCGAGAGAGAATGTGGTGACTGCTGAGTTAGCCGCAACATCCCAGATTTTTGCAGTTTTGTCCCCAGACGCAGACAGAAGTTGAGTGCCGTCAGCATTCCAGCTAATCTGTGGTAGAGGAGAAAAACACCTTTGTTACAGCTCGCTGTACAGCCAGACACACAACTTGTTGAACTGAAGGAGATCAGTAAAGTAAATGTACAGGGATGTCAATGTGAAAGGAAATAAAAGCATATCTAAACCTTAAGACATTTTTTTTCAATATACTGCGTTATCCTTAGATGTGGTGGCTGCATTGGTTTTCTTTTTACCACCTTTATTTAATCTTGGCGATCAAGCCAATAACACACCTTTTGTTCCTTCGTGTCTACAGTTTTTTCCCAATGTATCTATGGAGGCACCATGGTTGTCATACAGGCTGGATTTCAAACATGTCTGCCTTTCTTCATTCCCCACTACGAATTGATGGGATTAGTCATTTACATGAGAAAAAAAATTAATGTTTGTCCTCTTTTAAGCTCACAGGAAGTGACAAGGACGGTGCATTTCTGGCAAGACCAACACGTATTTCTGTACTTGTTAAAAATGTTCTTAGACTAAAAAACAAAACATTCACCGCATCAAAAGACTTGTAGGCTGCAATGTAGTACATTTTCGGTTTTGGGTTTAAGCACGCTTAAACTTCCAAGTGAATCAGTCATTAGGAACTGTACTGCACATCGACAATCGGGGTACGAGTCAGCATTACTAAATCATATTAAGGAGTACAAAAAAAAAAACACCAAAATGCAAAAAGATGTTTTACGAGATGCAGATCTCGTCAGGTATGCTGATCGCATTCCCTGATCTACAGATAACCACCAGAGGGAGCTCTATAAATCTCCAAGACACACACACCATGAAAATAAAGTGCAACTGCGTAAAAATGTGAGACATGAGACAAAATTCAGGTAAAGGTTATGCCTCATTCTCACTTTGCGTTTTGGGATCCCTGTGGCAGGAACCTACAGATTTGAGTAGCAGAAATCCCAAATCGCCCATTTAGATGCAGACACTGTCACCCATTCAAGTTAATGACCAGGTGACAGCCGTCGCATCTGTAAGCAGCAGTACACATTTTTTTTAAATGTGTGCGATACAATTACATGCGGTTATGAATAGATCACTATCCCCGTACACACAGTAAATGCGTGTAGACTTCTGCTTACAGATGCAGCCACGATCATCCAGTCATTGAGTTGAACAGGTGACAGCGGCTGCATCTAAACTTGACATGTGGGATTCCTGCTGTAGGAATCCCAAATCGCACAATCGCGCCTAGTGTGAATGTAGCCTTACAATAAAAACCCAAATTGTGTACTCCTTTAAATACTTACCCTCAGCCTCGGGATGTCAATTTGTAACCTGCAATTTACAGGTCTATGGCAGCTGATGAAAAAAGAGCTAGTGCACATAACCTGACAAAGTTTATTGTGACCCTTCATCCAGACTGGACTTGCGATATAAACAGTTAGTGTACTCTAGGGCCACATGCACACATCTACACACGTCAATGCAAAGTTAATTTGTGTTGCAGTACTTTGCCATCCATTTCAATTGCACCCCATGAGGAGACACGGTTTTTTTTCTTTATTTTCACAGGTTTATAGTGCCAGTAACACTCTTCCTGTCCTAGGATGACAACGCTCACTCGTCACAATATATCTACGGAGGGGCAGCGTCGTAGGGACACCTCACCCTCTCCTTTATAACATAGATAGCTGGGAATAATGCTGACTAACAGTCAGGAGAGGCAGAAAGCACAGATGTCATCAGCTGAGATTTCTGGCAGGATCAATAGGTATTTTTTTACAGTTGTTGAATAAAATCTTAAACATTTTTTTTAAAAATGTAACTGTATAGTGCAACTTCAGTTTTGGATAGAGTGGAAAGGAATTAGAACCCTCATCAGGTTTGCATTATTGACTGTGTCCCACATTATGAAGATTTGCCCTATTTGTCCTGATGACTTATCACGGAAAGTAAAAGAAAAAAGTAAACATTTTGGGTTGTCATCAGAACAGGAAAAAGATGGGAAATCTTCCAATGAGGACACTTGTTCTGGTGACCCTGATGACCAGGGATTACCCTCACACGCCCCTTTGTGGATAGGAAGAAGGGAAGATATATAAACCCAAAAAGGTAATTGATGGGGTTTACATACACTTTAATGGAAACCTGTGATGAGAAATGTGTCTACCATTACTGGCTTGGGTTTCAAAATTGCAAGCTTTAGTGCGGTCTTATTTCCATTGCCTTGCAAATAAACAGGTGCTTTGGTCACTATTTGCATAGGCTTCTGTAAACCCCCATATGAAAATGGCTGCTGTTTGCATATTAGGTTTTAGGAGGGCTCCCACCTGTTCAGCAATCCATCCCCTGCCATGGTTGAAGAATTCTTCATTTCTACCATTAAAAGGTGCCCATGCATGGTACAATGTGATTGTATCTCTCTATGATCTGTCAAGTTTTGCTGAAACATAATTATGAGGCAGCACTTCTACCTTGAAGCAATGGGGTCCCTGGTTCAAATACAGGTTCAGCCAGAACACTATGCATTGAGTTTGTATGTTCTCCCTGTGCTTATGTGGGTTTCTTTAAAAATACATGCTGGTAGGGACAACTGGCTCATGTCTAAACTGGCTCTATTATGTAAATATATGAAATAGTGATCCGAGATTGTAAGCTCCTTGACAGCAGGGACTGATGTAAACTTATAGTAAGTAAAGCACTGCATCAATTGATGTGGATATAGAACAACTTGTAATAATGAAGTCATAAAGTAAATGTTGTGTATTCATACAACAAACCCAGAAACAACCTTTGAGGGAGAGAAGAAAAAGTTATGTAAAAAGAGATCAGCACTTACTGCATAAACTCCTCCATCATGGGCTTTTCCTGCTCCAAGCTGGCCCACTTTCTCACCAGTTTTGCCATCGTATAAAAAGATCTGTGAAGGAATACGTTAAATGGTTACAATTCCAGCTAAAAGATATGACATGGATTAATTCACTAAAATTGTCCACAAACATGAAAACCTGATCGTACAGCCTACTAAGTTTAAAGTGAACCTGTCCTGTGTCCCCCCTTCCTTTATAATCCCTTTCTCTTTGCTAACCGGCTACTCTATTTGGCCACTAAAGAGAAAGTGAAAAAACTATTTGGCCACTAAAGAGAAAGTGAAAAAATACAACACACACGGGCCAGAGCATGCACGACAGACACAGGAAGCTACGATGTAGAAGGTAGGATCCCATGCTCCCCGATACCTCCCAATACCGAATATTTCAAGGGATTCCAACAGGCAAGGGAGCACAGGGAAAGTAATTATATGCAGCAGAGGGGATAGTCTGTTCAATTAACCTGTACAGGTACATCAAAAGATAGTTTAACTCAGTTGGAATAAGGTAAGTCATGTGTTTCACGAACATCAGAAGCATTTTCTGGTTAATAGCAAAAACCCCATTATTACCGAAATATCAGCAGGAATAGATTATATAAGCAATCCACTGAAAAAAAATTACTGTATTTGCTGGCGTATGAGACTACTTTTTATACTTAAAAACATTCCCCGAAAATCGGGGGTTGTCTTATACGCGGGGTATATAATGTATACCTTTAGTTCATTTAGGCCAAGCTGGCCCAAAAACGAACATCCCTAATCTGTCAGCCCGCTGGATGTGCGGTAATACTGTATGTACGGTAGTTTCGGCTACATACAGTAGCTGAGCCAATCACGGCGAGCGATGTACACAACCTTTGCCAATTCAAGCAAGCTTTGTATTCCTTAATACAATGCTCGCCATGATTGGCTCAGCGCGGTATACTGTATGTAGCTGAAGCTACCGTACATACATCCATGATTTTTTTAAATGGTGTTGCCTCGGAAGTGGGGTAGTCTTATATGATGAGTATAGCCGAAAACCTATGTTTTAAGTGGAAAATTAGGGGGTCGTCTTACACACCCAGTCGCCTTATATGCCAGCAAATAAAACATTTTTTTTTTTAAAAAGACTGTGGGCAGAGTGGGCACTATGCCCTTGTGTACCAACATCTGGTTACCCGACTACAACGGGATTTAGATTTCGTTATATATGGCATGAGATTTGTTGTACAGTAAATTATATTAACTCGAGTTGATTTTGTATACACACTTCAATGGTGAACTGGCTCCTCTGCATACCCGTTGTATAGGACAGCAGCAGTCAGCAGTGTATAACGTTTGGGAATAAAGACTTGGTGTCCAACATACCTGACCATCCGCACTTGCAGTTGCAAATGTGTTCCCATTAGGTGAAAACCGCACGCAGTTTACAAAACGACTATGGTCCTGTGTTTGAAGAGAGGATAAAAGAGTCAATGCACAATGGAGCAAATTTATGAAACATTTGGTATAAGCAGAGTTGTCGCCCACAGGAACCTAAATTCTTTGCTTAATTTAAAACAGAAGCAGAATATCTGGATGACCGCGGTTGTCATCATCAACAGCTCTAACTTCTTTGCATTTTTTTACAAAAGGTTTCCCTCAAATCATTCCTTAGGGTCTTGAGGCACAGATCCTCAACAGGAACGGTCCAACAAGTCAGCTTTAAAAAAAAAACACATAACCCCTTGTGAATGGGCAATAGTGAGGAAGGGCAGGTCATGTGACTGGAGCGCTGCACTGCTTGAGTCGCATCTCTCACTTTCCTCAGTTCCTGGAAGCGTGGCATTGTGTGCAGGAGACAGCATGCTGTAAGGTAAGATTGTTATACTTTGTAGCTGCTCTCCACACAACACCCAGCTTTTTTTAATGATCATTTACACAACCAGTGTGGCATGTATTTGATCATTTTGCCTGGAGGGTGGCTTTAAGAATGGATCCTTCATTCATTTTCCCTAGATTCTTTACCATGCGGTTTCCTCAACATTCTGGGGTTGATTTACTAAAAGGTGTACAAGCTGTTCACTTAACTTGGTGAATAAGGTGAAAGTGTGCAAACGTCAAAGTCAAAACCAAGAGAAACCAAGTGGACAGAAAGTTCCATATTGTGCAGGGTTGTAGGATAACCCTTTGGAGAATGAAGCAAGCCTTTTTTCTCCCTGCTCGCAGTATGCCATCCACTACGCTTCTTTCTAGACTACAATTACACTGTACCTGTTGTCTATTCAGCAGGAAGATGTTACAGCTTCCAGTGGAAAGTTAATGATCAATTGACACAGGATACCTGCTCTACTTTTCCTGCGAGGATTAGTGGCATCACTTGTCACATTTAGGTCAGCTTACACAAGAAAGTAAATTAGACAATGTATAATGATCTCCTGATGACTCTCCTATGTCTTTCTCACTATTTCAAGTTGTACTTACATAAAATCAGATCTCCCTGCTTTGTGCAAAGTAAGGTAGGTCTAAGCCTCTCTATTGGATCTTTAAGGATTGCTGGGACCCTATATACAGGTGAAACTAGAATAATTAGAATATCGTGCAAAGTTCATTTATTTCACTAATGCAACTTAAAAAGGTGAAACTAATATATGAGATAGACTCATTACATGCAAAGCAAGATAATTCAAGCCGTGATTTGTCATAATTGTGATGATTATGGCTTACAGCTCATGAAAACCCCAAGAACCCCAAATCCACAACCTCAAAAAAGTAGATTACATGTTATCAATAAAACAAGGATTGTAAATAGAACAATATCGGACCTCTGAAAAGTACAAGCATGCATATGTACTCAGTACTTGGTTTGAGCCCCTTTTGCAGCACTTACTGCAATTACTTTTGCACGATATTCTAATTATTCGAGTTTCACCTGTACATGGGAATTCAGCTTGTACAAGAGCAGTGTGTACAGCAAGCTTTTATAAAGCCGCACGTCCGGAATAGCCACGACAGACCTATCTACGGACACAAAAAGGATGAAGGTGTTTACCTGCAAATTAAGGGGATGCAAAGGTCTCTATCTGGTGCAATCGGATGCAAAAAAGGATGATGAAGAAGCTCAACCAGCAAATCAAGGGGATCCAAAATAGGATTGGACTTACCAGTTAAATCCATTTCTTGAGTATATGACACAGGCAATTCAGGGACAAGTAATATGCAGGTATCATCAGGTGACTCAACACTGCCCGAGCTGCGAGGACCCTCCGATAACCCTCCAACTCCCAGAAATCCTCAACTTTTTGGCAAGCAATAGAAGACATTAAGGGCATGGTCCTCTGCTATACTCCAAAAAATGGCTTTTACTGGTAAGTCAAAAATCTTATTTGCTTGGCCATACAGTGCTGGACACGGGCAATTTAGAGATGACTGAGATGTCAAAAAGCATTGGGGGTGAACAACACTGCCAACAGGCCCACATAACAGGCAAGGAGAAACCCCAACTCAGATGGCAGCATGTAGAACCTTTCAGCCAAAGCCAACATCAACAGAAGCCTGAACATCCTCCTGGTAGAACTCTGAACGTATGAACAGAAGACCAGGTGGCGGCCTTACAAATAACAGATGCCTGATACTGAAAAGCCCAAGAGGCACTGACGGATCTTGTAGAGTACGCCTTTAAAAGGGGAAGACAACCCTCCCCCCACCACTTAAAAAAAAAAACAAAAAAAAAACGTATGAATGTCCTTGAGTTGGAGGGGTTATATGGTCCTCACAACTCTGGCCAGTGTGCATTCACCTGATACCTGCGCATATTACCCAGTTGTCTTTGAATTGTCAGTGTCCTGTAATGCGTGATCAAGAAAGGTCTCCATTTGGTGCGCATGCAAATAATGCAGTACACAGGTGGCTTGAATTTTGGAGGGTGTACCTCTGTTCTCAAACATTGAACAGTGGAGTGAGATATATTTTAGCACAAGTATAAAAAATATAAAAAAAGTTATAGGATGGGGAGCAGGAAAACATCCTTTTTTAGGATGTAACAAACTGAGAAACAAACATACTAGCCACTCATACAGTACGTCAATAAAAGAGGTATCATTACATAACACACAGTCTATAAAACTAGAACGTAAGAGGCAGTGAAGATCAGGAGGTGAACAGAGTTTGGGCTCAAACTGTAAAAAACATGATGAGGGACCATTCCAGCTCCTGATACACCTGCTTATTTCAGGTCTCCATATACTCATTAAAAAAAAAACAACCTCAATAGTGGTCAAATAATTAGGGAGCCACACTTTTCAGTAGACTCCAAACAGGAATTAATTAAGTGTTTAGTTCAAAATGTGCCTTTTTCTGTAGGCTGTAGCTTTAATCATCATTATTGTGCCACGTTTCTAAATTACTATTGCTATGGAATGTTCTTCATAGAAACAGCATTCCCCAAAGCTAAATTTCAACACTTAGGAAATCTTTACTGAATTATTAATACGCATTCATGGATACAGAAACTAACGTCTTCCTGAATAGCCCTCCCTAGCAGTCTACTGAAGGATGCTGCACAGAACAGAGCACACGGCTTTCCCCGTAACATGGATTCTGGAGAATAAATTATTAAGAGGGGCAGCCAGGACTGAATAGCTGGGGACACAAGCAGGACACAGAAAAGGGTAAAACAAAAAAAAAGACCTCTGTGTTGTATGTCTGCCGAGAGCTTGCCAGCTGGGAATTCTGCCGCATATAATAATTAACAATGAAAGAGTGGCACAGACCGTCTAATGAGGCCTGGCCCTGTCACTGCGATGTGTACACTGCTAAGTGACAGACTGTGTCTTGTTTTAGCAAACACCATATTAGAGATTGGGAGGGGAGCCCTTTACAAACTTTACAAAGTTGGAGACCAACATCAATCGACCCCCTGCAGCCGGCAGCTGAACAGATCAGTCATAATTAAAAAGCTAGACTTTCTGGATGTTTAGGGAGTACAGGACAGTGAGGGATATTGGTCTCCTACAAACAACTAACGTTCGAGTCTGGCATACATTCAGAATCCCACCGAGTTCTCATAGATAACTGTTACAGTGTAAAGGCAACTATGCATAATTTTTTTTTTTAGTTTGCTCATAGTTTAAACAGTTTAAAGGGTCTATTTAAAAAAAATGAATGTGCAATGAATGTGACTTTAATCATACATTCTCTGGCGGAGATTCAACCTTTGTCATTTGTCACGGACCTGGACCATTCTCCACCAGAGAATGTTTGGCCAAAGACTCATTCACCGCTTTAAAGATTAGACCCCCTAAGTGTAATGTTACATTTTAGGGTTAAAGTTTCATTTAAAAATTTGTTTAAGGTTGTGCTAGATGTGAAATTTATAGCAGCTTTATGTGCTACCAAAATTGAAAACAATTTCCTACCAGGAGCAGAGAATGACCAATAAATAGAAGAGAAATGGCTCTCTAGGGTTACCCTGTTCCACTGATGTGTGCGTTCATTGTTGCTGGTACATAACCTTTTTGTAGCAATGCCATAGCATTTGGTTTGGTCTGGGTTAGAGGTGATACTCCTGCACAAAAACGACCAGCAGTAAGTTCTCGACTTTAATAGCCTTTGTATTAGGGTCATGGTCAACATCGAGAATGAGAGGATGCAAGTGAACACAACTCCTGCTCCATCTGTCCCTAAAAAAATTTTAACATAAAAATTGCAAGGCTATAGGCCGGTCATGCTGACTGGTGACATTTTTGACTGACTGGTGAGACACCCTAAACAGTTTTCAAGCCCTGATAATGAATATTGAATAGATTCAAAATGACCAAAAAAAGAAAATGAAATTCCCCCGCCCCCGTGAATGCAAAGCGCCTGTGAAAAAAAACCTGGCTCCTAACTTTTAGCTGGCTCCTGGATTTAAAGAAAATGCGTCAAGCCCTGCAGTATATGCTAGTACCTATGTAACAAAAAGGTATTGGGGGGACGGATAATGCCTTGTTCACGGTTCTAGGTGAATCCCTTGGGTTTTGGTTGTTATGAAGTTTGTTTTTGTTTACTGCTTGCGTTTGTTATTCAAGACCTACTTTTATACACTTTTGCTCCACAGCTCCTTGCTATATTTTCTTGAGGGTATATTTATCTCTGTGTGGGAGAGAACAAACCCATCCTACACAAAATCACTTTAAAAGGTTTATGATGACATATTTTCATGTCAAAATTGTATATTGAAACGTACAGGGATTGGATACTCCCGAGAAGAGTACAGCATTCTTCTCTTCTCTCAACACCAACCTCATCTGATATGTCTACAGGAGACGCATTTTACTGCCGACAATACTGCCGCATATCTCTAGAAACCCTGGATACAATGGTGTTATCATTCCTCCCACACATCCCATTCCAGGAGCGTAGCTTTTCTAGTACACTGACAGCTACAATGGGATTGTATCCAAATTAAGATATTCCCTAGATTTAGATTTACAATTCCTTTCTGTATGTCATGATGAAATTCTACCACATTTGTACTTGTGAGAATCTAAAACCCTCCATCATGAAGGAACTCTGGAGGTCATTCAAAAAGCTATTACTCTCACCTTACAATACCCTGAACCACATGTTCTTTGTATGGGCGACTCTTTATAAAATGCCAGCAGAACCGACCATACATCCTGGGCCTTCTTCAGATTAAAGTGGCACTAAACCCAGCAGTTAAATATTACCTGCTCACTCCTGTGATGGACTACAGTTTACTAATTTGTATAGAGATTGTAGTCCATCCCAGGAGCAAGCTTGGAGCGGTGACTACTTTACAACACACCCAAGGACCATGGGGAACAAAAGTAGCCACCCTCCAGAAGGAAGGACAGTGTCAGCACCAAGTCAGAGATGATTTGAGGATCTACAGCCGAGTGATACACAAATAAGATACATTTATGTTAATAGTTAGGGTACTTGATTGCATTTTTAAGATTTAACTCGAGTTTAGGGTCACTTTAATATGGTAAATCCAACATTAAAATGGCAGCAGTAGCAACCATACATCCTGTGCCCTCTACAGACTGGTACCCCCAATCTTTAAAACCTTGTACTGTATATGAGGAGCAGGATGAAAATTTTACTCTGTACATTTTACTGGTTTACTCAGATAAATCTTTAAGACTTGTCATATTCTAAAACTTTTAGTAAAACGTGTTTTTAAAACCCCCTATGCATTATAGAAACCAGTACAAAGAAAACTGCAGCCGGTTTCATTGCTCCTCTGCAAATTAGGAAATGGGAGATTCTGACTGCCCAGCCCAAGTATTAGAACTCATAAAATAGATGTATTTTTCTCTCTAATACTACAAACTATACAGTTTATCCTAAACTAGCACCTGATAAACCACTTCATATGAAACTGATGCACGAGAAATACAAAATGCACAAAACAGAACTATAAAACGATATCTAAAAAGCAATATAGCGTCAGATTCTGGGGTGGGGGGGTGTCATTCCAGCAGAGTTACTCAAACTATGAGCATAAAGCAAACTTCCCAACTTCCTGTAATTTGCTTAACTCTCGCCTTCCACATCCCCTGCTGACTAAATATGGAAATCAAGTCATCATTTATTTAGCAATGTCTAGGTTACTTAGGCAAATATACCCAGAGGAATGCCCGAGATGAAAGCGGAAAGTAAAAATGCAATTGGGAGCTGCGTATACATGTCCTGTGGTGACAAATCCAAAAGTTCAAGCAGGCTTTGACATTTCTGTGTATTTCCAAAACTAAGCAAAAGAATGATAAGAAGGTTCATATATACATTTCTCTTACATTGATTGGAAAAAAATATAGAACAAAGTGATCCCTAGCACCTTTCTGCTTGAGCGGTCACAGAAGTGTTTTGGAATACCCTAGCCCTGAATTGACACTAGGCAGATTAAAGTGAGGAAGCCTACCCCTGTACTGCAAGGGTTCACTGCTCCTTTTTCTCTGGGGGTGAAGACGACTAAATACTCACCGGATCCTCGGTCTTGCAGCAATAACTATTCACCTTACTCGCCTTCTGCTCTGGCAAGTCCCTCGGCATCTTCACGTCTAATAGACCTGTATAGATATGATGTCACGGGTCCTTAGATGGATGGTCCAGAGCGCAGGGGAGAAGAGGGTGCAGGGACCAGTCTAGCAGCCAGACAGGACTGAGAAACAGGCAAGTATATCTTCTTTATTTTCACCCCCTAGACAAAATGAGCAGTTAACCATTGCAGTTTAGGGGTAGCCTTGGGGGCAAGTCTACTGCCACGGAACAGACACGCCAGCAATCATGAAGAAACACAACACTCATTAAAGACTTAAGTTCCACTTTTGACTTCCTCTTCTAAGATGAATGTCCTAACCCTCCTACCTGATGTGTGTGGACATTACCGGCGTGCCCTAGTACTGGGCATAAGTAACTGAGCTGCATTTAGAATAGAATAGTCTAGAATAGTTAGTAGTTTTTAAACTGGAAGCACATAGGTCAGGATTATATTCTATTGTTTTATTCCCATGACAAAATGGGGAGCTGCTGCCACTGGACTCGTTTTTGCCATTCACTGACTGGCAGGTACAGATAGACTGTACACAGCAGGTTAAAGAGACCCTGTCAACAACTTGCATGTAAAAGCACAGAAAAATCAAAAGTTTAAAATGCTGACTTGCAGAGCTTCTTTCCATAAATTATTTGTTTGTATTAAAGTGCCATTAAACTCGCTAGTAACTTTGACTATGAGAGTCAATTCCCTAGCACAGCCCCCTTATGTCCTTACACATCATAATTCTCCCTTCTTCTGACAATATCTAATTACTTTTTGCGCTGGCCCAGCTCCTCTACCTTTACATAAGGTGAAGGGGAATACTATAGCCTGTCACTTAGATGACAGCTTTGAGTCTGCTGGTGCTGCCAACATCACATCCAAGATGGTGGCAGCCAACAGAAGTCTCAGGTCTTTTAGAGGTCTACACAAGAGAGGCTTTGTTTCCAGGTAAAGAACATGACTAAAATAAATGCATATATAATCTTGCGGGAAGATTTTTTTTTTCAATAAACTGTAAATTAGAATTTGAAAGGTGGTCCCTCGAAGAAAGCGGTGCAGTTGTCGTCGCTGCCAGTCACAAGCCGATAGGGCCGGGTCTGCTTGATGTCCACAGAGTTGATCACTTTGTTGTGTCCTGTAATTTCTCCAACAGAGGAGCCAGTATCCCAAAGAAACACTGCACCAAACCTGAGTGGAAGAGCAACGAAAACGTTAGTTCGGGATTCTCGGCATAGTTCCTCCCCTCTAATTACCTAAATGAAATTTTTTTTTTTGTTTAAGATTAACATTGTCTAAGAGTAAAAAAAGGGATTCCCCTGTTAACTAAAATAAAAATAATTCTCCAATGTGTCTAATAGCACCATGTAATCCCCAACAGCCTTGGAGTGGAAAGAGCAACAATGCAAGTCAATCCGGCTTTACTGCACTGCAAAGTTCACTTGATATAACAAATGGAGCTTGCTGATTGGAGGAAACAGTACAGAGATAACCTCTGCAGTCTGCTGTTCCTTCACCACCCAATCACTGCCTTTATGAGCTGTACTACTAGACCTCGGAGGAAGAAATTTAAGTCACCACTTGGGGTTTAGTGTCTGGCAAAGCTGTTTGGAATCGAAAACTGGCTGAACAGAATTTAAGATTTTTTTTGGTAAACGAGAACCATGGGGTAACCTTTTTATCCCATAGTTCTTTAGTGTCACGGGAGGACATATTCTAACCCCCCTGTGACCCAATGCTCAGTATATAGTGAGCTATTGCCTGCGATATAATGAGAGCACCGCAGCTGGGACGGATCCCTACAATACTGTCGAGAGCCAGCCAGCTGGCTGATTAGATAGGCAGAGCCCGCTATCAGAGGCACAGCCAGCTGTGCCCGCCCCCTCCTCAACCGTTTCTCCAGTCAACATTGGTGGATTCGAGATGGGAAGGAATCCCTGAGGGGAGCGGTGACGACAGTCACCATTCTCTGCAAGGAGATGATCGAGAAGTGAGCGAGCAATAGTATGTGTTCACTCACTTCCCGATCTATTGAGCCGACCTGTGACAGCTTCATTGTCACACGTCGGCTCTAACTATGAGGTTGAGTGAAAACCACTCGCCCCATAGTTCTCCTTTAAAGCTAGACTCAACACAAAGATGAAACACATACATGAGAGCCGTTTTACCTTTGTATTTATGTCCATGCAGTCCTTTAACTTACACAGCTCTTCCACACAGCACAACCCTGTCTGGCAGGACAGGAGACCTGACCCTTCTCCGTTGCAGTTTAACTTCCAATCGCAGGTCCCCTCCCCACACTGAAACTGATAAGCCCATCTTTCTGTCACTCTGCACTCTCCTCCAGTAAACATTCTCCATGCCTTGCAATCAACACTTGATTGTCTCCTTGTGCCACTTCTTCCTCCCCCTCCAAATTCTCATGTACCTTATACTACCAGAGGCCAAAACCTGAGACTTACAATTCTTGCATTAATAAATACAGAGCTGCATTAATTTGCGTCTTTTTAGATCTGCCTGGAGTTCACCTTTAACAAGTATGCATTTCAACTTAGCTTTTTGCCTTCCCTTTAAAACTATGCAAGACCTATATAGAAATAGATTACATCACAAGTGACAGCCTATTTTGTTTCCTGGCAACAATGAAGCAAATACCTTTTTCAGAGCTAAAGCAGAGATGACAAAATGGAGAATAGGACTAGATACAGAAACACATTCCATGCAGAGAGATCTTTTCACTGTCACACTGGGTGCAACGGACTCCTGGTCATTTTTTTTAATTCACAGACTTCCAATGATAACACAATCTTAAGTCTCATACGCTCACTTGTTACAGACAAAAAGCGTTGCCCTGTGATTTGTCTATTCCGCCCGCGCTTCCGAATACGATTGCAGCTAAAAACAGCTGCGCGCTGTATATTTGTATATCGCAAATAGAAGGTACTTATACCTTTTTTCTACGAATGCCCCCCCATTGAAATCAATGGGGCCGCAAGGCAATTGCTGCCTGCATTGTACAGGACCACACAATCCCGGGACACGTGTGCCATGTAGTGCAGGTGTGAACCTAGCCTGAATGCCAAATCTATATCTTAGAGATAACCCAATAGAAGGAGCAGGGCAGAAAAGTGTTCCATCATGCACCACCATAGGGCTTTTTAAACAGTAGTCTAGCAAAAATATGCCCATGCATGTGTGAGAGTTACAGGTGAAACTCGAATAATTAGAATATCGTGCAAAAGTAATTGCAGTAGGTTCTGCAAAAGGGGCCCAAACATGGTACTGAGTACATATGCATGCTTGTACTTTTCAGAGGTCCGATATTGTTCTATGTACAATCCTTGTTTTATTGATTGCATGTAATAATCTAATTTTCTGAGTTTGTGGATTTGGGGTTCTTGGGGTTTTCATGAGCTGTAAGCCATAATCATCACAATTATTACAAATCACGGCTTGAATTATCTCACTTTGCATGTAATGAGTCTATCTCATATATTAGTTTCACCGCATAAGTTGCATTAGTGAAATAAATGAACTTTGCACGATATTCTAATTATTCGAGTTTCACCTGTATATTGCACCACATTGCTTGTTAACCCATTACCATATGATGTGGGGCAATGCAATAAAAAAACAAATATATATATATATATATTTTT